TTTTTTTGTTGGAAATGTTGATAATTTGTGGCTTATTGTAAATGAAAAAACCTCCACAAACCAACAAATTCGATTTTCGAATCTTCATTAACTGCTTGACCCAATAGCGACGAAAAAAAGTACGAAGAAATTTGTATCAAAAATTTTTATAATTAAATAATGAAATGTATATGTATGTCTAAAGTTAGAACCAGAAGCTCTTAAATTTGTTAGTTTATATTAACTTATATATGTATGTACTAATTTATGCATTATGCATTATTAGTGGTATATTGGTAAAACTTATTTGGAAAGCTGACAATTTTCTAAACAGAGATGTTAAAATCACTAATAATTTATATTTTTCATGACATTCCAACGACACGTTCACTAAAAAATATTTCTCCAATTATTATTTTATTCTTATAAATCCTTGTACAAATTTAAGTGAAAAAAAACTGATTTTTCGTGTTGAAATTTTGAAGTCGTTTTAATAAAATGCAACCTGGCGTATTTTTCAGTGGGTTTTGTGTGTTCAAAATATTTATATCAATTGATTGGTACTGAGTGGATGTGTGCACACATAGCAAAAGCTGCATTCATCTGAGTGCTTATTCAGTGTTAAAAGTGAATCGTTCGTCATTCAATTTTTTCAATCTTTCTTTGAATATGGAAATGTGTGCAATCGTATCTACTTTGAGTGAATGTAGAATTGGAAAACTATAAGCCGCATTATTCAATAAGGGAGAATTCAATGAAAACATAATAATATAAAATTGATGATTTTTAATTTCAAATGATTTCACAGTTTTACAGCTCTGCTCTGTACTTATCGTTCCCACGAAAGTCGGGTCTACGTCCCCGGAACCACCCAAATTTATATCTGGTCAAGGGCTGTCACTGCAGCAACTCTCCCCAAAAACTCTGGGGAATTTGTTACAACAAAAACTCTGTACTATTATCCCGTTTTTCTAGCAAAATTACAAACTGAGCGCATCACTATTGTGATTTCTACTGCGCTTCAAAGTATGTTGCCGCGACAAATATACCGCTGCAAAAAAATATTTAATTTGTGTGCGTTTTCTTAGCACTTTAAAATCTTATTTTTGTGGCATAATTTCAGGCGCAGTAAAAATCCCAATAGTGATGCGCTGTGTTTTGTGGCTTTGTTTTGTGGCTTTGTTAGAGGGGTTAGATTATCAGAATTGTAGTTTTACTTCTCACTTTATTGCGCTTAAAACAAGGTTGTTATATCATAAAAACAGTCATACAATTGAATACAACCATAACACCGAAATTGAAGAGAATTCAATTTGGTACTATTTTTGGCATAACTTGCTCTATACAGTTCAGACACGAACCAGATGATTAACAATCTCTTACAATTTGTGCACTGCTTTGCCCACCTGATCAGCTGGCCTCTCAATTAATTGACAATCTGTCATCGTTGAAACGATTTTGTTTACAAACAATTTACAGGCAAAAGTTTATGAAAAATGTAAGTTTAACATCATCGATTTTTTATTAAATTTTAATGATTTGTGAAAATCTGGCGTTAAATATAACACTTCAATTTTATTTTAGGGCTGATTATTGGAAGTCAAATGATCGTAAATATTGTGATTTCTGCAAATGTTGGATAAGCGATAATAAAGCGGTTAGTATCACATACATATTTTATAGAGTTATATTAAAACTCTATCATTTTCACAGAGTATTGCCTTCCACGAAAGTGGGAAGCGTCACAAACAGAATGTGGCCAACCGCATAACGGACATCAGCCGCAACAGCGAGAAAGCTGAGCGTGAGCGCAAAAAAATGGATGCCGAGATCCGGAAAATGGAAGAAGCGGCTATGCGCTCATATGCCCAAGACATACATGGTGGTAGAGATTTTACGGCGCGCACTATCAACGCTGTACTGGATGCCTCCAACACGGCAGGCACATCAGCTCGGTCAACATCGGCAGTTGTCTGCCGTGGAAAACAAGTGGATCCAGTACGTTTGCCAGGCAATTCAGATGATGAAGACGAAGATGGCAAAAGAGTGCTGGTGCAAAAGGTTGCACCGGAGAGCATACCAAACGCCTCACTTTGGGTAGAAGGTGTATCTGATGAGGGTTATACCTATTATTGGAATGTGAAAACGAACGAGTCCGTGTGGGATCCACCCAAAGAGGGGTATCTCTCCTATGCTGAATATCAACGTATCAATGAATTAGCATTGAAAAAGCAGGAAATGGAGCATGCTACGGAGGCCAAAAAATTTCGTGAGAATGTTAATGAGGAAGTAGCACGCTACAATCGCGAACGGTTGAAAATGTTTCGAAAACCTGAGACACCAAAAGAGGCGCAGAAACGGCGCGAAGAAAAGGAAGCGTACAAGACTCAGGACGAGGCAGCTGCACCGACAATCGGTGCATGGCAAGTGGTGGAGCATAAGTAAGTAAGACTCACTAAATTCAATTCATATCTCGGAAGCCAGTTCGAAAACGCCCTGTCTCAAAAAACTTTAGGAACACCCTATTTAAGAATTCGTTTCAAAAATGCCCTATGTTGTTGTTGTTGTTGTAGCGGCACTACTAAGCCCCGCCTGTTTCGGGTCAACTTTTAATCATTATCGTCAAGCTCAACTAACGGTAGGCCCAGGAAACGCGCTGTTTCGATGGGGTCGGGCCAAAGGGAGAGGGGTGTTAGTTGAGTCGGATTGAGCTGGCATGTGAAGAGGTGGTTGGTGTCGTGGGGGGAGTCTCCACATGCCGGGCACTCATTTGGGATGTTTGGGTCGAGTCTGGACAGGTAGCTTTTTAGGCGACTACAATATCCAGACCGTAACTGAGCCAGGGTGACGCGGGTCTCTCTAGGTAACTGAAGTTCCGTCTCTTCCACAGGTGCTGATTGGGCTCCGATAACGACATTCCTAGGCCGGGAGTCGAGGTAGGTGGAGACAGACTCCCTATGAATGTCGTTAATCGCTCGTCTGTACGTCATTGGGTCCAGTGGTTGGTCTGTGTAGGTCTGGACTGCGTCCTTGTACATGAATAGGTGCCCCCTGACGTGCCTGGGCGGAGGCTCCTCCTCCAGCAGTGGTCTGTTGGGGTGTTCACTTCTGTGACACCCCACAAGAAACTGCTTACAGAGCATCTTGTTGTGTTCCCTTACGGGGAGCACTTGGGCCTCACTGTGTAGGTGATGCTCAGGCGTCATCAGAAGGCACCCGGTCGCTGTCCGGAGTGCGGCGTTCTGACAAGTCTGTAGCTTCGTCCACTGCGTCCAACTAGTCCCCGGCGTCCAAACTGGCGCAGCATAATTTAGAACCGGCCGGCCAATTGCCTTGTATGTTGCCAGCAACGTTTCTTTGTCTTTGCCCCAAGTGCTGCCGGCGAGCGACTTAAGGACCTTGTTGCGGCTCTGTACTTTGTTGACAACTGCGGTTGTGTGCGCGGAGAAAGAGAGCAGGCTATCAAAGGTAACCCCTAAAATTTTCGGGTTGTTCACCGTCGGTATTGGTGTGCCGTCGACGTGAATGCCTAATTCAAGCCTGACCTCCTTCGTCCAGGTGGTGAAGAGGGTCGCCGTTGATTTCGTTGGGGAGAGGGTTAGGCTCCTTGCAGTGAAGAAGCGAGAAAGGCTGGAGAGATAGCCGTTTACTTTTGAGCAGAGGTCATCAATTCCATTCCCAGACGCCAAAATCGAACAGTCATCAGCGTAGGAGATCAGGGAAACTCCTTCAGGTGGCTGGGGGAGTTTCGAGATATAGAAGTTAAAAAGTAAGGGGGAGAGAACACCACCTTGTGGAACCCCTTGTTTTATTCTTCTTGGTTTCGAGGTTTGATCTCTGAAGATTACTGATGATTGCCGACCACTCATATAATTCGCCGACCATCGCTTCAGTCCCTGTGGGAGAGAGGAGGCCTCAATGTCTTCTAGCAGCGTGGAATGGCAGACGGTGTCAAACGCCTTTGACAAGTCCAGCGCTACTAGGACAGTTCTCTCACAGGGGCGGTTTCGATTTAGGCCACGAGTTATTTGGGAGTTTAAGGCGTTAAGTGCTGTTGTTGTTCTGTGCACTTTACGGAATCCGTGATGGTGCTTCGCTGGGGTCAGGTTGCAGGTGAAGTATGGGAGTAGTAGGGTCTCAAGTATCTTCGCGACCGGGGAAAAGAGCGTTATCGGGCGATAAGAGTCTCCTTTGTTGACGGGCTTCCCCAGTTTCAGCAGTGGGACCACTCTCCCTGATTTCCACACATTCGGAATGATGAGAGTGGCCATAGACAGGTTGAGGACCTCCGTTAGGTAAGCTACTCCCTTAGGCCCTAAATGTTTTAGCATCAGCACGCAGATTCCGTCGGGTCCAATGGCTTTGGAGGCTTTCGCCTTCCGGATGGCCCCCTTCACTTCACAGCTGGTGAAAACAAGTGGTGCACCTTTTTTTTTGACAGCTTGTGCAGCCTCCTGGTCAATCGACGTTTGGCCTTGTCTACCGAAGGATGCAGTGTGAATTGCCTACTAAAGTAGGCTGCGCATTTCGCTTCGAAAGAGATCATCTCTTCATCACGCTTCGTTGGGTTAGACAGGGACCTCACGGTTGACCAGAGCTTACTCACACCAGCTGTGAAGTTACAGGCCTTCAAGTGCTCCTCCCACTTTCTCCGCTTATGTTGATTTACCAGTTGCCGAATCTCCAAATTAAGTACCCTCAAGCGAGGGTCCCCGGGGTCGACCTGGCGTAGGTGGTCACGCTC